TATGGATGGATGATGGGTGATGGATGGATGATGGGTGATGGGAGTTATGGATGGATGATGGGTGATGGATGGATGGATGGATGGATGGATGGATGGATGGATGGATGGATGGATGGATGGATTTCCACTGGTATTCGGAATGTTCTTTCAGATTATAGCTTCAGGTGTTCTTTTTTTTGACTGTCAGCCATATATATAAGCAGATTTTTGTAAATATTTATTTCCTATTTTCTTCTGATTAGCTTAATTTACAATTCAGAACGTTTAAAACAAAATGCCAGACTCGTTATGTGAGATGCAAACTTTTGTTTGATGTCTTTGTCATTTCATGAAGAATTTGAATGTATTAGGAGATAACTGTGAAGTTGATCATCTTTACTTTGTAGAGGAGAAGGTTTGAGATTAAAGATGCTGGTTGACTGACTGGATTATTTCTAAGATTCATCGTCCTCAGCTAATGAAGTGCTGTTCACTACTGTAATAAACAAACCTTTTTAAAGCACATTGCTGACTTGTCCACTTCAAATCCCTCACATAATCCCCCACCCACCAACCAACACCCTGCCCCCACCCGAGGCAAGGCTAGATTAAAACAGCCGAGCAAAAGACGAGTTAATCCTTCAGCAACCATCCTGCTTGTTGGGCTATGAGACTGAAAGTTCCCAGGCTGCTCCTCTGCAATTAGATGATTTCCTTCACCACACCCCCACACACACACTCACACACCCACACACACATCAACCCTCCGAAAGACACACACACACACACGTGGCAATTAGTTGATGGTGAGGCTTATGCGCCTGCCAGCCGCTTGCTGTCACTGTCACTTTCACTAAGTTAGAATCGGCAGCGTCTCATCCTCCCTCTTCTTCTTCCTTTGACCTCTATTTCCTCTCAATTAGCAGAGCTGCCACCAGGATCGTCTCTCAGATTAAGTTATTCACTGTCTCTCCAGCTGCCACCGCTGTGCACTCAGGATCTTTGTTGCAGGAAGACAGAGAGCTCACATGTAGAATGAAGACTGTCGCTTCAAACTTAGTTTTTTTTATTGCTGATAACCTGAAGAGCTACAGCATGACTGGTTTTTGTTATAGTTTCTGTTGAACATGTTTTTGCATTCAAATTACTTCCACATATTTTAAAAACTCTTTATTTTACTACATCTGCTCAATCAACAGTGGGTTATAACATTTGTATTTTGCAACGTTTTTACATTTCTGAATTGTTAAAAAAAATAAAATCCATCTAATCCCATATAAATACAACAGGGGTCAGATTTATAAAGCTTGCATACGCACAAAATGAGCCTAGAAACTTGCGTACGCCACTTTTCACGCMAAGGTTGTGATTTATAAAATCCAAACTTGACGTGAAAATGTGCGGTGCCTCACGCCAGCTTTAACCCATGCGTACGCTCATTTTGGAGACGGGAAGCTGCGACACAGATGGTGAAGTCAGGAATTATAGCCACACTGTGTAATGATCACCAGATATTAAATTTCACTTCATAATCAAACTTGGATTTTTATTCAGCTTTATCATCAGCTTTCTTAACAGTATTATTTATGCTTCTGTTGCTGATCCATAATGATCTTTAAAATAAAAAAAACACATCTTAAATAAAAAGTTCACGCATCTCCATCTCCTTCTTCCTCAAGACCCTGACCCACAGATCCCCCCCCCCCACAAGAGACATTTCTACAGAAAGACAGCAAGTGTCACGCCAGGATACTCGCGCAGGGCGCGCCCCTCGCCAGTGTGGATGTTATAAAAAGTTCGCTTTTTAAAGTCAGTATTTCTCATGCGCGTGCAGGGGGCTGTGGGGATGTGTGTGTGTGTGTGT